AATAACGATGTTTTAATGCCGTCACAACTTGAACCAACACTGCCCAAGCAGACGACATCCCATAAAGAATGAACATAATTGCAATGCTTTTATTTCTCAAATTATAATGAGTTTAGTGTATATACATGTGATGGAATTTTACACCATTCAAAAAGGGATATGACCCCCATTTCTGATAACTAAATTATTTTGTTTGTAAATACACAGGATAGGAGTTAATGAACAATCAAAGAAACCACACTTTCAAATTAAAAAAACCTCCGGAATGATAGCATGGACGTCATTTGTTCCCTCTTGAAACGCCGAACATGCCGCGGTGTATGCAGCTGAAAATACAATGGCGTCATTTTGTTTACAAGCGACGGATTCTTTTTTTTGTTGTTAATCCTAGCATTTTTCATCAAAATAATACCATGCACGGGTTTAGAGTGAGGCAATAGATTAAACATTTCGCCTGAGGGCATTGAAGTAAGAGAAATTACTGAAGAAAAGATGACAAAACAAATGTAAATGTTAATAATTATTACTTCGAATGTTTCCAAGCATTGGCTTTTGATAACCTTGGCCAATCAAAGTGTCACCTTTGCAATAATGACATTAAAGTTAGTTTTTTAAATCAATGAACCTTCTCTTTAAATACACTAGAACTACTAGAACTGATATATTATATACTCATATTACCCTGAAGATAATAAACAGGTAAAGAGAAAATGTTGGCTTCCTTTAATAAATAATAAGGAATACTATCTTTCATTTGTATCATTCTAAAGAAATACAAGAACCTCACCTTTTTAAGAATACATGTAGATGGAGCAGTTCAAATGATGAAAGTGACATTTTCAAAATGCACAGTACTGGTAAATAACATTTTCAAGTCGTTGTGTTACTACCCCCCCCCCCCCCCCCCCCCCCCCCCCCCCCAAAAAAAAATTAACAAAAAAACAAAGGGGACAATAATCACTTTTGTCCTAAACAGAGAGACAGACTGAGAAACTAAAAATCAATATGAACTGCTTTTCAAAATGAAATGTAGAACACATTTTAAAGTATTTGCGTGAAATACTGAAAACAAAAAATTCCAAAAATAATTGTTATTCTAAGCAGAAAGAAGTGGTAGCATTTCAAAATGCAGACTTAGTTCCATAAATGTCAGACAATCTTTTAATTTTCAGGAAGAAAAGGAAATATCAATAACATTTACATTTTCTGCACAGAAATAGATTCCATTTCATAATATTGAGTTGCTTTCCTAGACATATGTTTACAAAAATCCACTGTTGACATTTAAGTGTAAAATTCCATTAAGCATGCACAATTGATTTGGGCATGTACATGTACATGTATGGCAGCCCTATACCCTGCCTGTCACAGTGTGCAGAAGCGGTGGTGTTTATATGAAAGCCATGAATTTTTAATGAGCTTGTGTTCGAAAGTCATCAAAAAATCTATAGATCCAATATGGTGGATGTACTGTATTGTGATCTGGGTTACTCTGTACGAGGTTACTGTAAGTGAACCTTCTTCTTTGTACATCACTGCATTATATAATGTATGTTTATGTCTTACATGTATATATATATATACACCTCTTAATTTCCATTGAAATCATAATTTTTAATTACTATAAATAATTATTCTGCTGTTACTTTAACTTCACTTTTCTCCAAAGTACAGTATCTAATACTTCACTCTACAACAAAGTGATGGGTCTCTCATCATCTTTGTATTTCAAAAGTTATATCAGAATACTGTGAAAGGTGAGCAGTACTGAGCACTCCATAGTGATTTGTTTTATTCAAGGTTGTACGTTTGTCCTGATGGTAAAGGCGTTATTTATGGAATGGTCAGCAGGGCTCAAATTAATTGTTTGTCCACGGGGGTTCTTCCCCCCCAAAAAAAAAACAAGAGCCCCTGTGAGCCTTCTCACGGGGGCTCTTTTTTATACAAATATCCATTGAATTGGTACCTAATTACCTATGATACTCCTCAATTATTTGCTATTTCATCATTATCATTTCAATCAGCATTTTCCCTCTTACAAATTTACAAGATACATAGCTGTTACTGGCCTGTGTATATAATATATACGCATACAACACTGATCTTTATGATGTCTTTAACGTGACATATCATCTTCTCCCCTTGCAAACGAAAAAGAAAACAAGGTCATTAAAAGGGATTAAGCGACAAATAATGATTGTGATTCAAATTGATGCAAATATTTGTTTGAATAAGCACTGCTATTCACCCGAATCTTCTTTATAAAAACAACTTTTACAAATCTCAGCCATGCTTACTGAGTTGAGACGTTCCATTCAATTTAAAATACCCATTACATAATACACTTCTCAGAATCTCAAAGTGATCTTACAGCACAGTGGCAGAATTGCATGGCTGAGATTTGTAAAAGTCGTTTTTACAAAGAAGATTCTAGTGAAAAGCATTGCTTATTCAAAAAAATCCTTGCATCAATTTGAATCACAATGATTATTTGTCGCATGGTCCTTTTATTAAATAACCTTGTTTTCTGTTTTGTTTGCAGAGGGAGAAGAAGCTATGTCACGTTAAGAAATCATAAAGATCAGTTGTATTATGCGTATATATTATGATACCAGAACAAATGTTGATTATCAGAATGTCATTTTGGAATACCTCATACAAATACCACATTGTCTTTAGCCCGTATCAGTATTAGCATGATCCAATATAAAGCTATTATTCTTTATTTAATTCAGTATAATGCTTTTCCTCAAAAATAGTTTTGCTATATTTTTAGGGTTGAGACGCTAAGAAATGGTTTCAAATGCACATTACACGAACCCTGAACCATTGCAAAATGATGGTGGTTCTCTCTCTCTCTCTCTCTTTATTTTAATCATGCATTATCAACTACATATGAGGCAGCAACCAAAAACTTAGGGTTATCTGAGATAGGTGAAAGTAAGAGTTAAAAAGAAAGTCATGCTAAAACGGCGCTTCACTTCCCCTCGCCCCCTGAAAAAAATAAAATAGATTAGTAGTCCTCCTCTCCAGCATCCCCCTCCCCCCCCCCCCCCCCCCGCTTTAATATCACATTTTCACTTGGCAGCCCAAGGGGGCCGGGGGGGGGGGCAGGGAGGAGGGGGTTAAACCCCCTAACCCCCCCCCCCCCCCCCCCCGTAGATCTGCCCATGTTACCGTATCATTCCACGACATTTTGGTCTTCCTCTTCTCCTCGAAAGGGACTTGTAGATTTGCGTGGACGTGGACGTGTTACGTCCTTTTAAGGCACTGGCAGTCACATGTGACGTCCTTTTAAGCACTGGCAGTGCCTTAAAAGGAGGTCACACGTTGCAGTCCACGTTCTCATCGTGCAAATCTAAAAGTCCCTAATATTGATTTACTAATCGAGGTTCATTATTTGCTGACAACGAAAAACTTCTCCAGGCCCTGACCATGTATCTGCCCTTGCGCAATCGCCTCTAGCTCCAGCAGACATGGCGCGGCAGCGTGCACACGCACCGCTAGTAACGGTGCAGTAGGCCTATAACCACTGCTGACGGCGGCACTGCACTGCGAGCTGAATCGGTAATAATAGGCCTACTCATAAAACGAGAAATCTTGCACGCTAATCTTAGTTTCATTTCATTGGATTAAAGGTTTGAAAATTGAAACTCAATATTGTGTTAAAGTTATAACAGAAAAGATAATCTTTATTCTATAATTCCACCGGGGCGATTTTTAATTTTGCAATCGCCCCCGTGAGCAACCTGACGGGGGCGATTAGGTAGCTCACGGGGGTGAATCGCTCACCGCCCCCGTGTATTTTGAGCGCTGATGGTCAGTGTAATTCCTTTTTTGTCATCAGTGACTACATTTTAAAACACATTGTGTGCTGATCTACAGTGTACATGCATGTTTCCTAATGTGTGATTCTCCATTTTAAACGTGTGACAAGTTTTAAAACCAAAACAAATGACATTTCAGTCTCGTTTTGGTAAATCAGGAATTTGTGTGGAACTATTGAATGATACATATGGTTATTGAATAGTTTTTCAAAATATCTAAACATGCTTGAGATGGATTTACTTTCTTTACTTTACTTTAATACACGATGTTGTAGGTCTAAGCCTGTTCATCGATCCAGGATTCTTCCATGATTGTATGTATTTGCTCATTAACAATCTCAAATGTGAAAGGCCTGAGATTTGTTTTTAAGGTTTTTTGTCAAAAACTATATTTTTGACAATACATATATGTAGACAAATTTATTATAATGATATATAACTTAATATATACATATGTACATGTAATTGTTACTACTAAATTCAGGACTATGGAACAGGTAATGCATACATGTATGCACATGTTCATGTATGTGCTTCAGAAAAGCATTTTTAGTTGGCATCATAACACAGTTTAACATCTTTTCATCTCTTCTTGGTCTCACTTTGTCTCTTCTTCTACTTTTTATATGCATCGGATTCTACAATTTATATTAATTTACATTCTGCTATCCATTTGTTATACAGAATTATTGTAATGCATTTTGCAGTACATACAAATGTGTTGGTGTATTATCTTTGTTGAAATAATACCCAAGTCTCTTAATGTTATCATCAACATGTGTTTAGTGAGATTAAAAGTAATTTAACCATGCCAATAACACTTTATCAACTTTGTGCAGGATGCAATTATTTAATCATCTAAAATATTTCAGCTCATCATTCCATGAATTAATACATTTAATTGTTAAAGCAAATAAAGATAAAAAAAGAGAAAGTACAAATGGAACAAACTATTATTCATAATACAATATATTCATTATTAGTAAATGTACATTTTAATTTCATAAAATACACAAAATGAGAAAAGGGAGATGTATTTATTTAAAGTGGTTTGAAAGTACATAAACCATTGTTTTTTTTAAAGAGGGATATCTTGCAATTCTTTAAAAGGTTGAAAGATGACGTTCAAATAATGGATTGGTCAGAGGGGTCAGGTCAAAGTAGGTCACTTACCCTAGCGTGGTCATGGTGACAATTGTATACCAGAAAGCTGCAGGAATGCAGTAAAACTTGGTGTTCTTTGAGTATTTTTCAGCATAGAACATGATGGTGGCAAATATAATAATCGCCATGGACATAGAGAAGAGTAAGAATCCTAGTTCACTAGCACAACTCTTTAGTGTATATCCCAATATGCGTAATCCTTGTGAATGCCGCGAGAACTTGAAAATTCTGAAGACACGAAATACTCTGAGTGTGACGAACATGCCACTGAGGCTATCGTCTTTGAAGAACAAGCCGATGTAGTAGGGCAGAATGGCCACTACATCTATAACGGACATCACACTCCGGGCAAATTTCAATCTGCTGGGAGCTGCATATAGTCTGAGTAGATATTCCACAGTGAAGATCATGACACAGGCTGTGTCGAGGCAAAAGAAGGACCGTTCATAGCGTACACCGCAAGCTAACATAGTCACAGTACCAGGTAGAGGAGAACATGGAACAGTCTCTACAATGTTTGCTATGACGGACACGGCAATGAAGAAACCTGTCACATAATAAAAAACAGTAGCGGGTGTTCCGGTTGTGGGGTTTTCAAATCCTCTCCACATTTTCTCTCGGAGGTTAGCGAGAGGTTCATTGTCCGTCATCTCCGAGATCCTCTCGTCCATTAGTCTTTCTTGGTTGTCACGCTTCTTGTCACGATAATCTTCATAACAACAATCACCTATGATTTCGGGCATGAGTCCGAAAAATGCCAATTCCTCATCGAATGCTGCAATGCATTCTTCCCTTGGGAAGTGCATAGTACCTGTGCGATAGAAAGTCAAGATATGGCGGAACAGGTCTGGGTCCCTGTCAAAGAAATACTGGTTTGATTCCTCATCGTAGAAATATTCCTTTTCACTGCTTCCTAATAATGTATCAGGGTATTTGTCGAGCATGTGCCTCCATGTTTCGAACTTCCTACCACTGATATTGATACACACACGTCCGAAGTGTTCATTGCGGCGCCGCTCGGGGAGAACCGGCATTGGGTTGGGGGCTACCGGTACCCACCCGATAGCCGCCGCCCGAGCAAATGGCAACCAAGCTGCGGCCATTTTGACTCAGTTTTACACCAGAATCAATCACCTATGGAAATAATAAGACATTTCGGTCGAATCAGCTGGAACTTTGTCAAAGCTTCGTGCAAACATATTGCAAAGATCAAGCTGGATGATTTTAATATCATACTCGGCTGTCAAGAACCGCCGCGCACCACAGCTAGCTAACCCGGCCCTCACTTCCCGAGCAAATAACAGATGACAAGCCCATGTTGGAGACCAAAAGCTGTAATTCAACAACGAGAAACACAGCTTTTAATCATTTCATGCACCTCAACGGTAGAAATCGCGAAAATCTGAAGGTTGCACACGCTTGTTATATCCAAATAAACCCACAAATGCCAAGAATATGTAACTTCTTGTAGAAGCGGATCAGGCTTACGACGCCATAAATGCTACAATGCGTCGCGACCATTGTACACGGCGGATGGAAAGTGGTATTGGCTTCATTTGTCTCCGATGTATACAACAGTTAACCATAATGCATTTGGGAGAATTAGAGAAGTGATCAGGATTTTAGATGAAAACAGCGTGCAATGCATGTTACGGACGGCCGACGGCTTCTACCAATGCCACGCCATATTATACCATTTCACTCTTACTTTACTAAAAAGCTCTGGATTTTGATGTATTTTAACTAAGGAAGCGCATGTGAAGAATGAACCAGCATTGTTTAAAGCATTCTGTTTGAAATATGGTATTTTATGACTTGTTTGGCTTGACTTGTCGGCCAATGGTATGCAAATTACGACAGCTCATTTACATACGAGATCCTGTCCATAAACGTCGGCTGACCTAGCTTACCCGAAAGAGGCGCCCTTGCTCTATGTTTACGGATAGTATGAAACTATCGTCACTTCGTGAAAATAGGGACGAAATGTATAAACATGTACGATCTGAGATTTTGCTATGTTCATTGTAATTCATGAAATGTTTTTGTATCGTACGTAGATTTTTGTATTACATACTGTGATAATTTTTTTTGTAATGTGAATTTTATGAGGAAGGAAATTTCCGGAACAGGTTGCAGGATGGTAATATGTAACTTTAAACCTTCCTCTAATGTTATTTTGATTATACAATGTCATACATGCAAGAATGTTTTCTTCTTTTTCTTTCTCTATGTTCATTGATTGATGTATTTCATGAAGTGTCTTATATCAATGATCTTGTTTTATATTGCTTATTTTGATAATTTCTTGTTATGTGAATTTCGTGTTACGTGAAATTATGAGGAAGAAAATAAAATATCATTTAAAACAAAAAAAAAATGAAACAATTCACATCACCACCTTCCTTCTTCTAAATTCACACCAATACATGGTATTTCATACAGTTGGTATTGAGGCATTTATTATGTACATATTATTTGTTTAGTATGTTTTTTCTTCCATACATCAGAAAAACAGCCATAGATTTAAAAGTGTAAAAATGTATACATTTTCTATTTCCGGGCCTCTAAAAATCGTATTTCTTCACACCAGCATCCAAGTAAGAATGATAGTAATATGTTTTTGTGTAGATGCACAAATGTTTTTTCCAGTTAATTCATGAAATATGTGGATTTTGATAAACTATATATAACAATCAATAATTATGAATATACAATATTCAGAATATAGTATCAATCCTTCAAATTTCATACAAGATTTTGTGAAATGTCATGCACGCAATATGATACAAATCATATAACCTGGGCAAAGGTATGAGGGAATCAAGTTTTGGGGGATAAAAAAGGAAATTAATGGGATTAAACTATATAAAGCAATTGATAAAATGTTTGGACATGACGTCACAAACTGATAACCAAATTGGCGATTCGTGTAGTGATTTTCATTGCTCCATAGTTTTACATATTTTTTTCAAAAATTCATAACTTTCTTATTGGGTATCCGATTTTGCTCAAACTTTTTTTGATTTTTCTGCTTCTATTGAAAGTAAGTTATTTTAGTGTGGACTTTTACTTTAAAGGGACGTTCTTGCTGGAGTGCCTGCTCATTTATCTGAATAAACACCTTTTTCCCCTTCATTTTATTTCAGATATTAACCCTATTATATTTGGAAGTATTATGACAAAATGAAGCTAAAACACATTATATTTACAGAAACAATTTGTTTTCCAGTTACAGTTGCAATTCATGAATTATATATTATCAACATAATATAAAAATGTATTTGTCTATCAATGTATTCTTTTAAATTTTATTTAATTACTTTTCAAAATGTTATGTCGTTCAATAGTTGAATACACATTTGACTAATTTAATTAAATGATAGATATAAATATACATGTACAGTATATATAAATATATATTTATATCGTATTTTATCTTATATTTCTTTGTACAGAAGTGAGATCGTCAAGGAAAAATGATTATAGCCTGGACTAAGAATACTTTGTTATATAGTTGCCAAAGATATATTAGACCAAATGTATATGGTATTCCTTTTTATGCATGATGAAATGATTGGCAGTGTAAAATGCATAGAGTAAAAACTTTAATTTTTGTTTTTAATGGACAGAGTATCTTTAACTTTGTGAAAATTTCTGTAAACATACTAAAAACCTGGAGATTCATTTGTTTAGATGCCAATCACAAAATAACTATTTCTGTTGGGAGTAAATCAATCTATATATATCCATTTAACTAAACCCTATCCACTGAAAGTCACTTACAAATTCGTAATAACTCTGAGTTTATAGAACATCGTCGGCTTTGCTAATGAGCAGAACGTTTTGTAAGAGAATTTCTATTATTTTTGAGTTTTTAAGAGCAATGTCTCTGATAGTTCACTCACAGGCGAATTCCTAAATGTTTAACTTTTGACCCCCCCCCTCCCTTGCCAGTTCAATAATTAAATACTTGCATTTAAGCATACTTGACGCCCCCTTCCCCCTACGGTTCTCGTATATAGGCAGTGGGGTTAACTGATATTCACTACAGACAGAACAATATCCGCATTAAATTAAAATTCGTCTACACAGAATATTTAAAGCTTTCACGCAGTTTTCTGCAAGCCCTATTGGGAATAACAATAGACTCTAGAAAAGAATCACTGCGCTCTATATTATACTCTGTAGTTTAGAAAGGTTTATCTGGATTTAACTCCTGGAGCTAGCCAAGGATACATCTGGGTTCTTATTTTGTTTTCATTTCAAGGAGGGTTTATGAAGGCATAGTGACATACAGATACTCACTTTTGTACATAGTACTAAAACTAGAGAGATAGTTTCAAAGCTGTTTAAATGTATAGTAAAAAAAAAAAACGTTGTAAGCTGTCGTGCTCATGCTACTTATGTGATATCATTGTTTTCTCTATAAGCATTGCCAAGAAACAAATGCATTCTCAATTTTTTTTTCTTGTCTAGTATAAATTAACATTAACAAAACGGTAACAAATAACAATACTTATAGAACTATACATTTTGGACTGAATTCAATGATACTAACGAAATAAAAGAGAATTGTCCGAATCTTTAGTTTCAGTTTGGTTAATTGATTATACTATTGGTGGATTAAAGACTCACGAATTACCATTGTTTTTGTGTTGTTATTCGTTCTTTGTGAGTATAAGGACAGATTGAAAGTTTCATAAAATGTCATTTGTTAGGCACCTAGCTCTAGTAAAGACAAAATAAAGAAAATGTAAAATATTTAATTGCAATCTAAGTGCATAGTAAGGAGAACAGGCTCTCCAAAATTTGCAGTTTCTTTGCTAAACATTTTTCTAAGAGAGTCGACATTTTAATTTAAATTTGGATAGATTTGTCCCTTTATCTATAATATAGTAATACAAAATTTCAATTCAATTTCAATTTATTCATGTTTCCAACAAAACATTACAAATCAATTATAAGCATTTAAAACAAATGTAAGAAATACATGTTGGAAACAGAGGGGTCCACTAAAAAGCAATGCTTGTACAAGTGTGAACTTTTCAAAGGATACTTAGGAATAATGAGTGATTAAATTAACTAATCCGTAACTACAAAAGGAACTGGAGAAAGAAAAAGGGAATGCCAACAGAGACGAGAAAGGGACAAGACAATGCTTTACACGACAAAGATAGAAGAACACGGTCAAAATACAAAGAGTAGACAATGACAAAAAGAAGTGGGAGATCGGGGATACAGAAAATAATACAAAATCATGAGCTGCATTTGGGGTTGAGAAGGAGATAAAGAGTAATTTCAAGATATTTGTAAGTGACAGACAGTTTTTAATAAGATTATCAGCTAATGTTTGTTGGGTTTCATATTCAACGATAGAAACAATGTGGACGGGGTCCTCAATTTTAGGATTTATTTCCTTTCGCACACGGGATATGCATCACTGTACCTTTTTGAGTGCCTCTCCCTTTTCCTTCAGTATCATTGCTCCGTTGATCTTTCCTTTTTATTCTAGGAGAGGAGTGGGTGTGGGAGCGATGGCCCAATGAGGAATTTGTGCTTTGTGTTTGCCGAGGACGCGAGTGTAGTGTAATATTTTTTTCTAAATGAAGTTTCGATTCGTTAATTTTGTTGGTGCGGGTTTTGGCTTTGGAGAGACTCGCAAGGTGCATTGCAGCCCCCCCCCCCCTACTCCGAGAACGGACGGACCCCATGCGTGTTACCAAAATGTCCGGTAAAGGGGTACTTTTCGTGCGACAAAGTACGGCCCGAGAATTGTAAAAAAAAAGGGGTGTATTAACTTTTCACCTGGAGATTTCTTTAAAAAGGGGGTGTTTTTTCTTTTTTTTCTCTCATCTCTTTGGACTCCTGAGAAATTATTCCGAATTTAGGGGGGTACAGTGAGCATTTTTCGTGATTTAGGGGGGTCTCCAAGGCAGGAAAAGCCCGCGAAAAGCCCACGAAAGGGGGGTTCGGAAATGTTGGCAGTCCTCAGATATTGGGGGTGCTTTCAAAAAGAGGGAACAAGCATAATGCGTATACCCTAAATAACACTGAGTGGGGGGGGGGGGGGCGGGATTGCAGGGCTACCATTCTGCGCTTATTATAGTCAGATTTTAATAGTAAGCCTTTTAATAGTAAGCCTGTTCTTGCTAACACTGTTTTCATTGTAAATGTACTATTCTTGGTATATCATATTTTCCCACATGTCCAATAGATTGTTTCCTGTTATCATTTCTAGGTAGGTGTGTGTCCTTATGATCGCTACCTGGTGCATATGATGTTGACTGGGTACTGTACAGATTATGAGAACCACTATTTACATCCATGGCGTCGCGAGGCCCCGTAATGGAGCCATAAAACACGACTTAGAAGCACCGGTGGAAATTGATGGAGTTAAATTGAATCGACTTTTACGAGACGAATGGGCTGTGTGACACATCTCTTCACTACGTACATTTAAGTGCGAAGCAGGGGGGGGGGGTCCTAGTGAATTTGCAGAAATGTTAACAGGAATTATAATAAATGTACAATGCCCTAGAGAATAACTGTAATAAACCACTGCCTATGAAACCCTGGGTAAAAATGAATAAATACGTGAACAGATAAATAAATAAATACGAGATGTTTTCATGCATCTGAAAATAAAGTAAAAAACAAAGGCATTGCCCCGCCTCCTCCTGGCTACGGCAGAGTTCTCTATATACCCACTTCTATTGTCAATATGCGATCTAGTAAAACTCATTACATTATTCAAAGCGTTGTTTACAGTGATTCACTCTGTGTTCAATGTATT